TTTTGTATATGGATTAGACAATAATCCAGTTTCATTCTCTTACATGTAGCTGTCCAGTTTTGCCAACACCAGCTGTTGAAGAGGCTATCATTTCCCCATTGTATATCCATGGCTCCTTTATCGTATATTAATTGACCATATATGCTTGGGTTTATATCTGGGCTTTCTAGTCTGTTCCACTGGTCTACAGATCTGTTCTTGTCCGAGTACCAAATTGTCTTGATTACTGTGGCTTTGTAGTAGAGCTTGAAGTTGGGGAGCATAATTCCCCCTGCTTTGTTCTTCCTTCTCAGGATTGCATGTGATACACTTTTTTAAAATTAATGAGCCAATATTAATACATCATTTGTAACTAAAGTCCATAGTTTCTTTAGATTCCCTTAGGTTTTACATAATTGTCATTCTTCTGTTCCAGGGTCCCATGTAAGATGCCACATTACATTTAGTTTTTAAGCTCTTCTTGGCTGTGACAATTTCTCAGACTTTTCTTATTTTTGATGACCTTGATAGTTTTAAGGAGTACTGGTCATATATTTTATAGGATGCCACTTTATTGCAGTTTGTCTCATGTTCTGATGTTCTACTGCTGAGTTGGGGGTTATGAGTTATTGAGAGGAGACTACAGAATTAAAGTTCCATTTTCATCACCTCATATCGATCATACATACTAGTCAACATATTTTATGACTTTTGATGTTGGTTTTAATCACCTAGCTTCAGTAGTGTTTTTAGGTTTCTCTAGTAGAGTTACTCTGTTTTTTCTCCCATTTCCACCCAGAATGCAGGGAGTGTAACTAGCAAGTATGTACATGACAGCATCAGATAGAGATAGAGGATAATATGAAATGGAATAACAAGAGTCTCAAATGAAGAGTGATTTTTACAAGAGAATGAGGAGCAGATTAGGGGTATGGAAATGGCAATGGTGGCTACTGGATCTCTGGCATTTGTTTATTTAGAAGATGAATAGTCTCATGAACTTTTGGAGGCTGTGTTTTTTGGGAAAGAACCAGCCAGGTTTCTGTTAAGGTAAGGAGGTGATGAAAGAATTCTGTAAACTGAGGATGCAGAAGAGTTAATTAGGGAGAGACTTTCAAAGGGCAGAGTGGTAAGGGTAGGTGGGAGCAGTGGGAGGATGGGTGAAGGTATAGGAAATGAAGAATAAAATAATGAGGATAAGAATAGATCAGAGGGTAAATCATCAGAGGGGTGTACTTTCAGGGCATTGGCCAAAGATAACAGGAATATGAGACACTGCTGTGTCAAGGTTTCAACTTTTATTGAAGTTCACTTATTTAACAAATAGTTACTTGAACACCTAGGAACAGTTTCAAAGTTTGAAGGTTTATGAAGAAACAGAACAGATGAAGTCTCTGCCTTTCCAGAAATTACATTCTAGTGCAGAAGATGGACAATGAACAAGTAACTCCCTCCTCCCTAACACTGTTTTGTGGACATTTCCAAACATGCAGGAAAGTTTAAAGAATTCTACAATGAACACCCCTATACCTACCTAGGTTCTATCATAAACATTTTACTGAACTTGCATGAACAAAGGCCCAAATAATTAAAGGAGTAAACTGTATGTAGAAAGAGTGTTTTGGGACAAGGAAGGAAAGTGTTAAAGGCCCTGGAGTATGAATGATCTTGGTATATTCAAGGTACAGCCAAAAGGCAAAGGTGGTAGATCAAAGTAAATGAGGGTAAGTGTGGTAGATGATGAGGTTAGAGAGGTGAGTAAATCATGTAGGTCTTCTTGGCAAGGATTTTATCTTGGGTGTGATGGGAAGTATAAAAGTGTGTTGAGTAGGAGAATTGGATGATTCCATTCATGTTTTGGGCAAGAGTAGAAACAGAACAGTTAAAAAGCTATTGCAGTAGTTTGAGGCCAGTGGTATTTATAGTTATATGGCATGCAAAGAAAAGAGGGGATACAAAGCTGACTTCAAAGTCAGTGCAGGCTGAGCTAGCTGGAAGTGTCACTGGCTTGCTGATGAGAGCAGACTGGGGTTCTAAGAAGGTTGGTAAGAAGTCTTTATAATACCTCCAAAGAAATCCTAGGCTTCACATTGGAAAGAATAACAGCCCAAGGTAATGGAGATATGTGAGGGAGAGAAGATTCAGCCTATATGGAAAAATTCAGGATTCCTCAATGTCTCTTGTTGGAAAGAGAAATCCTTGGGATGATAGAAAAGACTAGGTTTTTCTGAGAACAGAGAGTTGGACTGAACTGATCTCACTCTCAAGGATAAATTTATCAACAACATATGCATATATGAATTAGTGTCCATGCTGTGAACATATGGAGCTTTTTGTTTGCTTTATCAAATTTTGTGCCAATGTTCAATTATCTCACACTTAGAATTTGTGTCATCTTCTCACTTGTATGATTCCAACTTCTCTTCATTTAGAAATTCTTTTTTATACTGCTGCCCATTGATTTGTCTAAACCAATGCTTGTCAAATTACTTGTGATGAAGGACCAGATCTTAAAATCTCAATGTGTCATGGACTGATATGTTTGTAGAATACATAGAATTACTTAGAAAAAGTGGAATTAAAAAAATATATTATAAAATGCAGGCCCAGTTTTTCAATTTGGTTCAACTGATATAAAATTACTCTGTCAGATTGCTACGAAAATTTCTACGAGCTTACTCTTAATTTCTGTACTACCTTGTCCCAGACTAGTAATCATACAGTTTGTGGATCACATTCTGATTAATAGTGGCAGAAATCACTCCTGATCTCAAAAGTCCTATTATCTATTTAATAAACCAAATATTAAACCATTGTCCTCTAAACTCTGTACTAGTTAGCTCAGTCTTCCCGGCCTCTAACAGGCAAGCCCTTACTTTCTCTCCCACACTAGCTGCTGTTCTTTTTAGCCCACTCCTTTTTGCCTCTATCTACCCAAAACATCCTGAATACACCTCACAGATGTTATATAACAGCTGAAATACTTATCCTAAGAAAGCTTTCTCAAAACAAATTTATCTAATATTTATCTCCTTGACATTTGTATTTTCTTACATTTATTAATACAGATTTATATTATTTGTATTGTTTTCTTTATTAGAACATTAATTCCTTCAGAGTAAAGTCTGATTTTTACCACAAATATCAAATTGTCTAGAAATAGATACATGGACACTAAACAAAAACAGTATGTGAGCGATTACCTGCCTGCCTAAGAATACATGTGCATGGGGAGATAAAGTTCTGGTGTATATGTAAATATTGTCTTTTACTATAGGAATTTGTATTCACCCCTTTTCTCCTATGCCCTGCTTTCTCTTATTTTCTTACTAGGCCTATCTCTATTAACTCTGGACCCTAAAACAGCTCACCCAAATCTGGTGCTCTCCAAAAACAGAACCAGTGTATGGCATGGTGACATTAAGCAGGAAATGCCTGATGATCCACAGAGGTTTGACTCAAGCGTGGCTGTGCTGGGCTCAAAAGGCTTCTCATCTGGAAAGTGGTATTGGGAAGTAGAAGTAGCAAAGAAAACAAAATGGACAGTTGGAGTTGTCAGAGAATCCATCATCCGGAAAGGCAGCTGTCCCCTAAATCCTGAACAAGGATTTTGGATTTTAAGACTAAGGAATCAAACTGATCTAAAGGCTCTGGATTTGCCTTCTTGCAGTCTAAAATTGACTAACAATCTCAACAAGGTTGGCATATACCTGGATTATGAAGGAGGGCAGGTGTCCTTCTACAATGCTAACACCATGACCCACATTTACACCTTCAGTAGCACTTTCACGGAGAAACTTTATCCCTATTTCTGCCCTTGCCTTAATGATGGTGGAGATAATAAAGAACCCTTGCATATATTACATCCACAATAATTAATCATACTATTGTGTAAAATCAGAGTGTTATTAAAGAGGTACTGAAATAGTTTATCAGTCTCACTGGTTTCTCATCCCAATTTATGGAGAACTCTGGAATAATGAAAAGAGGATTCATTCTCACTGTCCTAAGTGGATTTCACTGGAGCCTTTCAAGATGTCATTCAAATTCTTTGGGGTCTTCTATGCCACAGGAGTTACTTTCATGAGACTCATCTTCATGCTATTGCTACTCAAGCAATCTGCAACTTAAGTTTGTGATGCTCAAGAACCCTTTTAAAACATGCCCAGAAATTCAATTATGCTTTTATCATTCTCCAGCATGACTCTTAATAGGTGAATTTTCAGATGTGTACTCTTCTTCCTATATATCTTTTAATATAAATTTTGCAACACATTTCTTTTCTCAAACTTGCTAATGTAATTTTTAAAAATTGCTCCAGAGATTTAAAGAAAATAAAAGGAAATGGTCTGGTTAGTTTATACTCTTGTTTTGAATTTTCTCAAGGTACTTTTTAGTCCAGCAAAATTTTAAAGAATTGTCATCACACAGGCCATATTCTTTCACCTTAATGCATTTAAGCCAGAAATTGATAACAATGACTAAATAATCACATGTATTTGGAAATTTTAAGATACTTTAAATAACCCATGGACCAAATAACTCATATTGGAAATCTGAAACTATTTTGAGTTGAACAATATTAAAAAATGACATCTTAAAAACTTGGCACACAGTTTTAGAGGAAATGTATAGCCTTATATGCACATATTAGAAAAACAAAGGATGACAGTCAATCATTTTTAAAGAAATTAGAAAAAGTACAGCAATTTAAAACAGGGAAATTATGAGAGCAGGAACTATGTGAAAGAGAAACATACAAGACAGTATCAACAAAGCCAGAAGTTTTTTTTTGAAAAGGCTAATAAAATTGACAAACTTCTAGTGAGACTAGGAAATAGACACATATAATATCAGAAACAAAAAAGTAACCATTGCTATGGAGCCTGCAGACATTAAAAAAGATAAAAGATTTTGTGGGCAACTTTATATCAATCTTTTTCATATTTTAGATTAAAGGGACCCAACACCAGAAATAAATAGCTTATCAAAACTAATGTGGACGGAAATTATAAAAGAAAAACCCTTTTGAGGAAACTGGGCATTTGAACACTGGCGACACTTGACTGTATTTAAGAATTAATTTTTTAGTGTGATAATGGTATTGTGGTTATTTTAAAGTCCTCGTCTTTTAGAGATTCCAATTGAAATATTTATAGATGAGATGATGAGTATTGCTTCAAAATACTTGATGCCACAGAACCTGTGCCCAAGCCTGTACAATATACCACAACAACTTTGTTAATACTTAGGTTTTAAAACTCTCAAGCGTGACTGACCCTTGTCTGCCGCGTCAGGAGAAAGCTGAGAGGCTCGTTCGCAATCCTCCCCAGTTAGTCAGCTCGGTCGGCTAGTGACGCTTCCCTCGTCCTTCCTGCCTCAGGCTTTTCCCGCCAATTACTCTGAGAGCCAATCATCGAGCGACGCTTCGACCTGGGACCAATCAGTGATCTCTACTGACCCCCACGTCCTTGTGTGCAAGGAGGCGCCATGTTTCAGGGGCAGCGGGGTTGGTTCTGCCGCAGCGTCAGCCAGGACTTGAGGCAGTTCTGGGGTAGGAAGGTGTGGATGAGGCGGTGCAGCGAGCACCCTCCCCCCTCTGGTGCCTTGGCCCCAGGGTACTTGCTAGGCTCACCTTATGCTCTTGCCTCCACAGTCGCTGAAGGGGGGGTCATCAGTGACGCGAAGGCCGCCGACTTCTTGTTCAGCTGTGATGCCTCCCACCCAGACACACTGAGGTACTCTGAAGGCCACCGGCAGGGCCTCTTGGGTCATGAAGAGCCAGAAGTTGGAAATGGAAGTTGCCGTCCACTAATAAATAGTGATAGGAAGAGACTGGAAACGAGCACGTTTTGGTCCTGGATGTGTGGGGTGGGGGAAATAGACAACCTTTCTCCTCTCCCTTTTTCCTAATGGCATTCCTCCTACCTGGTCCTCAAGCCTCTCCCCGAGTTCCAGTCGTGTGTTTCCAGCTGTCTTTCCTGCAACGCCAGATGGCACCTTAAAGACTTGTTTATACCAAATGTCACTGCCTCTCATACCTGCACCAGGTCCTGTGTTCTCAAAACCTTCCGTTTCTTTTGAATAGCAGCCCTTACCCCATTAATTAATCAGTGGCCAAAGACCATGGATTGTGCTTCTAAATGTTCTTCCTACTCTGTGCCATTATCTTACACACACTAATTACCTTTTGCCTGGACAGTCACAGTAGCTTTCTAAGAAGCTGTTTTGCCTCTCACGCGTCTACCTGTGATCTCCCTGCACATTGCTGTCCCATTATGTTTACAAAGCAGAGGTCTCACCACCGCCCTGGGTGTCCTTGCCCCACCTCCTTACCTCCCGGTTTCCTGATTACCTTACTGATAATTCTCCTTACTCCTATACGTTTATTTCTTCTTTTAAAAGGTTGAATACATTCTTGTTCATTTTATAACCTAAAATATTTCCTTTATTTCTCCTAGAATATATCAGAGCCTTGATTACATAGAAGATAACGCTACAGTTTTTCATGCCTACTATCTGTCTGCAGTAGCTAATGCTGCAATAAAAAACTCGGTGGCTTTAGGTCATTTTGTTCTACCTCCTGCATGCCTGCAAAAAGGTTAGCAAAGATCATTCATCCCTGTTGGACAGCTAGATCCATCCAGGTCAACCAACTTGACTGATCTGTGTTCTCAATCAGTGATTTTTGTGTTCTGTATCACTTAATCTAAGTGGAAAAGAATAGACTTTAGATCAGATTGCTTTGGGTGTGTATTCTAGCTTTCTTCGTCTATTGCTCATTCACACGTTCACTGAGCTCCTGCTGTGTGCCAGGTTCCGACCCAGGTGCTGGGTTTCAGTAGTGAATAAGAGATCTTGCCTTAAATGTCCTCACTTGCTAGAATCCAACACTTACTAGTTTTGTGACCTTTAGCAACTTCTCCCAAGTTGTTTTGAGGCTAAAATGAGATAATGTATTAAGTAGTCCAACATGTGAGCATTCAGTAAATGTTCTTTGCTAGTTTCGAATCTGTACATTATTTTTCTGAAAGTTTTTTCTGATATTTGCAGATTCGTTATGATAATAAACCGATATATATTTTTATACTTTGGAAAGTACTTTCACATTGATTATTTCAGCAATCCTCTGAAGTATAAAGGGCAAGTAAATAAACAGCTTCTGAGGTTGGTTTTTTTCAGTTTTTCCCTGCTTGGAACACCCTTTCTTAACTTGTTCCATTCAAATCCTACCTATTTTTTATCGGCTAACTTTAAATATCCCATTTATGTAGGTCTTGCATTATTATCGAATTTTTAATGTGTATCTTGATGTATGTGTCCATCTCTAGAAAGACAGACTGAAGCTAGTACAAATTCCCAGTGAGCAAGGTATTTAAAACAAACCAAACTTGAAAAAGACTTCTATAGAAGAGCTTTAGAAATCCCTAAGATTGGGTTCCTTCCATAGTTAATACCCTGATGAGACCTAGTTATAACATATAAAAATAAATTGTTCTAAGTGGTTCTGCAGATGAATTAATGACTGGCTAGGAGAACCGATTTATTTAAAAACTGTGCCAATCAGTAAATACTCACCTTCAAGGAATTTATATTACAGAATGACTACCTGATCTGATTTTAAATATCATTCGTATTCTGTTTCTCAGTTTAGCATCTTATATTAAAATGTATTTAAATTTTAAAAATCTGTTTTAAATGAAAACATGCTCTTTTTTTAAGAATAAGAAGCATACATTATTATCTGCATAGACCAGTATTGTCTATAGAAGTGTGAGATGCAAATATGAGCCATGTGTTAATTTAAAATTTTCTAGTAGCAACATTATAAAGAATAAAAATAAATAGGTGAAGTTAATTTTAAGAATATATTTTATTTAACCTAATATATCTAAAATACTATCATTTCAGTATATAACCAATATAAAAATTACTGAGATATTTTACATTTTTTTTGATACAAAGTCTTCAAACGCAGTGCTTATTTTATACTTCGTACATCTGAATTTGGTCTAGTCACACACTTCAATATGGTACCCACATGTAGCTAGTTGTTAGTATTGGATAGCACAGATCTAGAAGAATATTACATTTTTGTTTTTAAGAAACTTTTGATATCCTCGAGTTAGAATGATGACATAGTCCTTTAACATGTTGAGCATTATGGAATTTCTGCACCACCATGCCCACTAGACTTATTGCTCTTTCACCCTTCTTTTAGCAAAATAAATTATTGAATTCTTGAGACCCTTGTACTCTACAAATTCAGGAATCTTGTGCCTTTTATTTTGACCAGACACTTGTCTTCGTTATTAATGCCTGACCTACAGACACTGACATCTAACGAAGAAGTGTATTTTGGCAGAAAAAATTTACAGCAATGATTCTCATAACACATTGGAATCATCTGGAGAGTTTGTTAGAAATGTAAATTCCTGAGCTCTTCCTCAATGATCTGATTTAATAGAAATCTACATTTTAAACAAGTATCTTAGGTGATTTTGATGCAAATGCAGAATATCCTACAAAGTTGCTTTTTAAAAAATATTATTGGATATGTTTTTCTTACCACAGAAATAAGAAGAAAAATTGGTAGTTTTATTTGGGAACAAGACCAAGATTTTCTGACAGAAAAGGTAAGAGTAAATTAAGTTGCTTGATTAGAATCTACCATTTCAAAATTTTTGAAAGTAATGTAATCTAAAAAATATTTACTTGTAACATGTTAGCACCAATGTCCAGATTAAGGAGTTTAAAGGGCATGCTTTTATTGAACATTATCTAGTTTGACATTGTTTTTACATGAGTACATTAGTAAAATTTGGACTTCTTTATGAGTAGTTCCATTCACATAGAAACTTGAAAATGTGCTTGTCAATAAAATTAAAAGAGTAACATGTTGTTACAC